TCCTAATCACAATGCTATTTCCATAAATCTCCACATGATCAAATATCTCCAAATTCGTTCTTATATCACAAACTAATCACTTAAATCCCCGTTAATCGTTGGCCCTCGGGGTGTGAACAGTAACCGGTGAACAGTAACCGGTGAACAGTGACGATGAACAGTGACCCGACGTGAACAGTAACTCCACTCCCACAAATTGGCCAAAACACTAGCTAATCTTACGGGATTTCACTCCAAAATCACAACAACCCAATTCAAGCTAATTTACACTTAAACCAAGCTTAAACACATAACTTAATCTACCAAAATTCATCCCCAATTTTTGCAAACTTTCGGACATCACAGGGGCAGCCAATCCATGGACAAAATTCAACAATTAAAGGGGTAAATTAGGACTTAGAGAAGCTGCCACATACCAGAATCCAGCAAGCAAAACCGGAGCTGCAGGGGGAAGAAGAAGCCGGCGGCAAATCTGCAGGGAACTCACGGGTTTCCCAAAAATTGGAGGAACAAGAGCAATTAAGGTTAACCCAAGTTAATTCAAGCAAGAACAGAGGGATTGGTAGCTGTTCTTACCGAAAATTCAAAGCAATTCACCCCCACAAAGCAGGAGCAGCCGGCGGTGAGGAAGGAAGAACAGAGCAGATCCGGATTTCCAGCAAGGGGGGGAAGAATTCTGGGTTCCAAATCAGGTTCTAGAACAAGAAAGGAAGGAGAAATTCGAAGCTTTCTCACCAATTTTTCAAAGCTGGTGCCGGCGGCTTGGAGGGGGGATTTTGGGGGCTGCAGCGAGAAGAAGAAGAGCAGAATCGGGAAATGGCTGGGGAAGAAAAGAAGGAAAAAGAAAAAGAAAAGAAACTAATCCTTATCCAATTATTTTCCCTCTTTAAATCCCTCAACTTTCAGAATATTCACATTATGCCCCAAAACAATCTTTTCTCACAATCAAGTCCTTAACTTACACTTAAATATTCCCAAAAATTTGGGATATTACAAAAAGGAAGAGGAATGGAGAGAACAAGAGAAAAGCAAGAAGGAAAGTAGAAGAAATGAAGATGAAATGGAAAAGGAAAAGGAAGAGGAAAGGGAAGATTAAGATGAGAAAGTGAAATATATGAGTGGGGTAAAGGAAGAGAGGAGAAAAATGAAAGTGAATTCGGATAAGGGATGGGAAAAATGAAAGAGAAGAAAGAAGAAGATGGGAGAAAATGCTAAGGAAGGGAAGGTTGGAAGTTTATATAGATAAGTATTATTTTCTAGCGTTGAGCGTTGGAAAATAATGTAAGCGGATTTTGAAAATTTTACAAAGAAAGAATGGCGCTTGAACATTGGATTTTAAACTTTAAATAAAATTATTTTCATTGGAAAAAAATATAGGCGAGATTTCATATTTTGAAAAGATATTTAAATATTTGATTCCTAAATTTCTTAATAAACTTATTTTCCAGTGCTTGGTGTTGGAAAATAACTTGACTCAATTAGACAAGAGTATTTTCCAGTACCAAGAACTAGAAAATAACCTGAATCAATTGCCTTAATTGAACAGGAGTATTTTCCAGTGCCAAGCACTAAAAAACAACCTATAGAATGTGGGTAGGAGCACTGGAAAATAACATGTACCCCATTTCTACCTTATTTTCCAGTGCTAACTTGTACAATTTGGGTTGAATTATTTTCTGGTGCTTGCCACTAGAAAACAACATGCATCCCATTTCTACCATTTAACTTTAACGGTTCTAAACATTTTCCAATGTTTTGCACTGGAAAAAAAGGTTATTTTTTTTTTTTGAAAATTTTTTCTGTTAGTAGCCAAAAAACATTATTTTCTAGCGTAGAAGGTGCCAAACCAAATTATGGCATTAAATTATTTTCTAGCGCTCGGTGCTGGAAAATGAGTCTTACTTGAAAATTATTTGTAAATTTTAGATATTTTCTACTAAACTTTATTTTCCAGCGCTCAACGTTGGAAAATAGTGTATTATTTTCCAATGCAATTTGCATTGGAAGATAATTGGTTGAAAAAAGTCAAATTTTTAGTAGTGATGGTTGGAGTGATTGTTGAAGAGCAAGGGGTCCATGATGCTACAAAAAAATCCTAATCCCTACAAGAAAAAATGAAGATGGTCAAACCAAGCTCTTGGTGCTTGTTTAGGCCCATACAATGCCTTTTTGATTCGGCACGTGTAGTTTAGTTGTAATTTGTCTTGGAAGCATGGGGTTGCTCCAAGAAGATTGATTCATTAAGAACATCATGTAGGAATGCATTCTTAACATCCAGTTGTTGAACCTGTTGTCGAATCTCCCAACCTTTTACTGTTGCTATCATAAGTACAGTTCTAATATTTTCATGTTTAACAACCGGTGAAAATGTCTTTAGGAAATCAACACCTTCAACTTGATTAAAACCTTTGGCCACCAAATGAGCTTTTAAGTGATCAAGACTTCCATCTTATTTTAGTCTTGACAACCAATTTGCATCCAACTACATTCATGTGCGGCTTACAAGTAGGCCTAGCAAACAGGTGGGTTGGGTCGGGTTTGAGTTGAGTCAACTTAGGTGATGGGTTATACGGGTTAGGTCGTAAACGGGTCGCAAGTTGGAAAAATCCAACCCTAACCCGACCCTAGCAAGTTACAAGTTAACCCGCAGGTTGATCTTATTTTTATTTTTTATAATTATTTTTATTAATTTTATTATATAAAAATAAAATTATGTATATCTAAATCTAATTAAAGTATTTAAATTCATTAACATTAAGTACTTTATAGTCTCAACCAAAAACAATTAAATTTAACAAAAATCATAAAGTTATAAATAATAGTAAGTTGATTAACCATATTAAACTTAAAATATTTAAATTTCTTGGAAAATAAAGTTTTAATTTTACAATTATCTTGAAACATTATAAAGGAGTTAAGTGCTTTTTTAAATGATGAAATTGCTCTTCCAAGAATATATTTCACTGAAATATTATGTTTATTTCCTAGTATTACATCTTTAATATTTTTAGTTTTATTATTATTTCATTCATGATACTTGATTATTAGATCAAACTCACATAATCTGTAAAAAAAGAAGAAGAAATTATGATGAGTAAACATTCAAAATAAATTTAGAACCAATCGAGTAATAGAAACAAGTTTGAAGAGAATGAATTAATGGAGAGAGTTACCAATAAGAAGATTAATTAAGAATAATAAGTATAATATATATATTTTTTTAAAAAATAATAAAACAAATGGCTTAACCCATCAACTTGTGGATTGACCCTAACTCGACCTGTGACTTGTACAGGTTGATATTATGAGTTATTTACTGGTTGCGAGTTAAGATATGTAGACCATAACCTATTTTTACAAGTTTAGTTAGGGTTAGGTTAATGGGTCAAGTGGATTTTTACACCCCTACTTCTGAGTAACAAGATCCCGAGCTTTATTCTCCAACAAGGCATTCATCTCTTCTTTCATAGCTTGCGTCCAACCAGGATATTTAAGAGCTGATTACGAAAAACCTTTGTGTTGTTGAGTCCAATTACAAAAAAGATAAAAGGAACAAAATGGTACCTAAATTTAAAGTGGTACTATTTTTTTTTTTCTTGAAAAGCAAAGTTTATTAAGAGTACCGTTTGATAGTTGAATTTTATTAAAGTTAAAATTAAGGGACTATTTTGGTATTTTTATGTTAAGATATTTGTAGTATTTTGATATTTTAACCTTTTGGGATGTTTTTTGGTACTAACTTCCTGATATTCGGTAGCCATATTGAGTCCCAATTAATCTGAAATCGAGTCATGTTAAACCTCCTAAGGAAAATTTCTCCCATTACATATTTCTTTATTTACAAAACTTGAACTTAAAACTTCGTTTGAGGAGAATCGAACTGATTGTATTTGAACCAATAGGTAGTTGGTTATCCTTTTGGGATTTAGTTGGGTTATATGATGCAAATTGCGAAGGTTTTGCCACCTTAGATAATCCAAGCTACAATAAAATAATAAAAATTACCATACTAAACATAATTAATTTAAGAGATTGTTTAGTTTAATAGTTTAAACCTAATTGTTAATAATTTAAAACTAATAATTGGCATAATTTTATCTAATTTAATAAATAAAAATGTTTGAATTTATTATCAAAACGCTATACCAAACAGCCTATCACCAAACAAAACAAATGGATTCATCATACCAAAAGAAATTCAATACCTTCCCTAAGATGGGTGCCAATGGTATGAAGAACGGTGCGATCATCTAAAACTAGGAGCCAATTTGTGGATGGATCAAGAAGTGCCAAGCTCCTATTTTCTACCTTGAGGCCATATTTTCCCCGGTGCCTTTTCTTCATGCCGAGCTCGTTGTTGTCCGTATAAACAACTAGCCCACACCTTTTGGTGTTTGTCTTCACCTAAACTTGGAGCTTCAGCCTGAGAAAAACGGTGCTGCCGTCACGAACTTGGCTCATATTTTTCAATTCGTTTTCGTCTTCCAACCGGAGCGGCTGTGCGCCTAAGAACACATCTTGCTTGTCTGACAAGCCTAAATATGTTTCCATTTTCAGTTTGAGGTGAAGAATGGTTGCGACGACCGGAACACTTACAGGCACGGTCAGATGGTAATGGGCAACATAAACCTCCATGCTCTGCAAAAATATCCATAACTTTTGAAGTCTTTAACACACTAGTGAAATTAAATTTCTTTTTCTTTTTGTGATTTAGAATGGAATTTCAATCTTATCTCAAGATTTAAAATGAAATGATTTGTAAAATGAGATAAGAAATAGAACTCTCATATGGAGTATACCTTTAAGAAAATTTATGAATTTATCTCTAAAGATATTTTGGGTTAATTAAGTTATTGAGCAGTATTTTCAAATATTTGTCAATAAAATTAAAAAAAATTAAAATATTTTGTTTATTTGCTTCAAACCTCCAATGGAAAAGATTAGGGATTAAGGGTGTTTGCGGTATGGTTTGGTTCGGATTTTACTATTTTTTAAACCAATCTAATTTAATCGGTTAATAAAATTTTTAAATCAATCCAATCCATTATTATGTGATAACCACACCAATCCAATTTAAATCGGATTGGTGTGGTTTGGTTGGATTGATCGGTTTTTAACATTATTAAATATATAAGATAATGTAAAAATATTTTAATATCAAATAGAAAGTATAACTATAAAATACATTAACATCCAAATAAGTAAAAACATAATAAAAGGTAAAAATTATAAACGAATTCTTATACTCCTTTATATTTGTAAAAATTGAAAAACTCTGAAATTCTTCTTAGTTACATTACTAGAGGCACCAAAAACAATAAAAAATAACTTCAAATTTCTAGCACGACGTAAATAATTCTTGAAGGTTAAAATTAATTTTTTTTCTTAATACACTAATAATTCAATCCCATTTTTTAAATCCTATTAAAAGTGAATAACAGTTAACATAAATATTACTAAAATTGATTAGAAGCATTCAAAATCAAAATTTAAAACTTCTAAACCAAATATCTAAGAATAGTTGAATATTAAGACTAATTTTATTATATAGTTTTAAAACTTTTAGAATGATACTTATTTAAAACTTAGTTAGGAAAATCATAAGATTATTTTAAGAATAAATTAGAAATTTAGGGTTCTAAGGGTAAAGGCGCAAACCAGTTCTGAGAGGATAGAGTTGCAAGTGAATTAAAAATTTAGAATTAAGGTTAGAGTGCATGATTAAAATGGAAAAATAACTTAGGGAATATAGAGATGTTCTATTTTTATTTTTTTAATTAAGTTAATGGAATTATAATCTTGTAAAATAAGGAAAAGAAAATTTAAAATACTATAAAAAATATGTTATATTATTTAATTAAATTATCTTCCAATCGGATTTTATTTTATAATCGGACAATTCGGGCGGTTTGAAGGTAAAACCACGAACCGAATCAATTATATCGGTTTTAAAATTTTAGAATTCGAACCAACCCAATTTTATATCAGTTTGGATCGGTTTTTGATTGGATCGGATCAGTTTAGGTCGGATTGGATCGGATATGAACACCCCTAGTTGTTGGCAAGGAACCTAAATTTAACAAGTAATTGTAGCTTGATCTAACCTTGTATCTTCCATTTGAACTGAATTGCCACTTCCTTACTATAGAGTTACTTGATGAAGTAAAGAAAGTAATGAATCTACCTATGCTACTTCACAATCTAATAGAGGCCTCCTCCATAACAAGGACCATTGCCAAGTATTATCATGCCAATATCCCATTTCTTTGATGTTGTAATCCTTGCCTATTGACAATAGAAATAGTCTAGGAAAAAGATGAGCTAAGACTCCTGATCCCATCCAATTATATAGCCAAAATCTAACTCCATTTCCTTCACCTCGTTTCAACTTGAACCCCTCTACTAACTAGCACCTCATGCCACAACTCATTCTCTCTAGTAGCAATTCTACCCCACCATTTCCCAAGGAGTGCTAGATTAAAAAGTCTAAGATTTCTTATACCCAACCCTCCATTTTTTTTTTTTACTTGAGCAAACTTTTTCCCAACTTTTTTTTTTTGAAAGGCAAAATTAAATTTATTACTAAATGAGTACAAGGGGTACTCATGCCCACATACACTAATCCATTGTTAACATATCAACTCTTCCAAGTAGGGGTGTTCATATCCGATCCAATCCGATTGATCCGACCTAAACTGATCCGATCAAATCAAAAATCGATCCAAATCGATATAAAATTGGGTTGGTTTGAATTCTAAAATTTTAAAACCAATATAATTGGTTTGATTTGTGGTTTTACCTTCAAACCGCCCGAACTGCCCAATTACAAAATAAAATCCGATTAGAAGATAATTTAATTAAATAATATAACATATTTTTTGTAGTATTTTAAATTTTCTTTTCCTTATTTTACAAGATTATAACTCCATTAACTTAATTAAAAAAATAAAAATAGAACATCTCTATTTTCCTTAAGTTATTTCTCTATTTTAATCATGCACTCTAACCTTAATTCTAAATTTTTAATTCACTTGCAACTCTATCATCTCAAAACTGGTTTGTGCCTTTACCCTTAGAACCCTAAATTTCTAATTTATTCTTAAAATAATCTTATGATTTTCCTAACTAAGTTTTAAATAAGTATAATTTTAAAAGCCTTAAAACTATATAATAAAATTAGTCTTAATATTCAACTATTCTTAGATATTTGGTTTAGAAGTTTTAAAGTTTGATTTTGAATGCTTTTAATCAATTTTAGTAATATTCATATTAAATGTTATTCACTTTTAATAGGATTTAGAAAATGGGATTGAATTATTAGTGTATTAAGCAAAAAAATTAATTTTAACCTTCAAGAATTATTTACACTGTAATCGAAACTTGAAGTTATTTTTTATTGTTTTTGGTGCCTCTAGTGATGTAACCAAGAAGAATTTTCAGAGTTTTTCAATTTTTACAAATATAAAGGAGTATAAGAATTCGTTTATAATTTTTACCTTTTATTATGTTTTTACTGATTTTGATGTTAATGTATTTTATAGTTATACTTTCTATTTGATGTTAAAATATTTTTACATTATCTTATATATTTAATAATGTTAAAAACCAATCAATCCAACCGAACCACACCGATCTGATTTAAATTGGATTGGTTTGGTTATCACATAATAATGGATTGAATTGGTTTAAAAATTTTATTAACCGATTAAATTGGATTGGTTTAAAAAATAGTAAAATCCGAACCAAACCACACTGCGAACACCTTTACCAACAACAAGTACTTATAAGTGGGTATGGCAAAAGGGCATTCCAAACAAGGTTGCAGCCTTTACATGGAGGCTAACCCAGGACTAGATTTCGACTAAGTTAAATCTTTTCCAAAGAGGTGTTATCACTTACCCTAATTCCTTACTTTGTGTTTTTGGATGTGGCAACTTGGAAGATACAAATACCATATGTTCCTACACCATAAAATTGCTCATACTTTATGGGCCAAATGCCTCAAATGGTGAGAATTTCTTTTGTTATGGCTGATACATGTTGGAAGGCTTTTGAGTGACATGGTCACTTATGTAGGTCTACAAGACAAAGGCAGGGATGGGAAATAATATGGTTTGTTGTCACATGGACTCTATGGCTTGCTAGGAATGATACCCTATTCAAAAGTGCCCATCTAGAAAATGGAAAGCTATTTGATTTAGTTCAAGCTCCTACCTACCAATGGTTGCCAGGAGCCGGGGAGTGTGGAGGCATTTCTTTCATAGACTAGATGCTAAAGTCGGCATTATGCATGAGGTCTGGGTTGATCAAGAAGGATTTTGGAGGACACAAAGGATAAATTTTTGTTGCAAGCCTCTTTTTACATGTAATTGATGTAAATGGGTTGGTGTACCCTTTGTACTCCCCAATAAAATTATTTATTGCCATTAAAAAAAAAAAAAAAAAACATACCTACATGCAATAAATCCAAACAAACCAAAAGAGAAAAAGAATCATAAAGCTAAAAATTCGTTTCTATTATACACATAGAATTGTCGATCACTTATATTATATATGTTGGCATTTACATATGATCACAATGCATGATATTAAACACCACAACTTAAAAGTTAAGTCTAGTTTCCTATATACTAAACACAGTTGATCAAACACCCAAACTGTTACTAATTAATACAAATTATAAACTAGGTTTAGGAGAGCTTAGCATAATTTGATATGCATAAACATGCCATTAAACATCTTGTGAAGTCGATGACTGAGGGAGAATGCTTGCATGTGAGAGCAACGCCCATAAATGGGTTACAAACTGTCCACCTTTGGCTAGATATTCTGCATGAGCTCTTGGATCACCAGTGGGTGCTAGAAATAACATGAGCTCTGCCCAGAAATCAGCCAAGACCTTCCACATTAAGTCGTTAGATTGTAGTTCATTCAGATTCTTCGCAAGCTTTGCAGCCCTTTGAATGATAGTGTTTCCTTCACCAAGTTTCAGAATCTATTCACACTTCTCTTCTTTTGACTTGCATTGACTGAGAAAGCTTCTAGCTTCCTTGAGTACCTCATCGAATATGGATTCAGCAACAATAGCCTCATAAAAAATCAACCTTGGAGCAAAAGCCACAAGATAGGCACAATAATCAGACAACTTAGTGGCAACAGTGAAATCTTCTTTAGTCTTTAAAGTACTCTTTTCTTTTGTTGCAATCTCACAGAGACTAGTAGCCAAATGCTAGACCAAGATAACATGGGTGGTTGTCTCCAGTTTACATGCCCAAGAAAGGTCATCCCACACTGCATTCCCGTGCAGAGATTTTTCCCCATTGCTCCATGTGGGATCATCCTTTCTAAGAATGAGTATCACTGCCTTCTTTACCTGTTCAGGTAAAGGGATATGATGGCTGCCCTTCAGACCTTGTCTGGGAACATCTAAAGAACCAGAGATTAGATGCCTCAATTTCCATCCTAAAGGGTCGCGATTGAAAGATTTAAGAAGAGAGTATTGATCAAGTTTTCTCCCCCAAGGTTTCAACTTTTCTTGACTGTACAAAATTAACTTTGTTCTTCCTTTAAGGTAGGTATCATAATCCTGTAGCCATGAATCTTCCCTCACATAGCTGCAAATCCAAAGCACAGTGGCTCAATCTGATATAATAAGGCAAAGAAGTTGTGCAATCTCCAAGAAGAGGACTCCAACTATGGCAATACTTGTAACTAGCTTGTCAACGCTAATATAACCAACAATAATGAGATTAAGGTCATCACTTGGCTCATAATCACTCAGGATTTTGCCCGCAACGATGCAACCAAGTACCATGAATATAGCATCAAGTAGCTTGAATTTGTTGAATCCTTGACCTCCCTTGAAGTTGACCGCGTACTTGGTGTAGAAAAGGTCAAAGAGGAAATAGAGTTCTACCTCGATGACCCTGAATACTTTGTTATAATCACCTTCTTCGGAAAGTAGACCTTTTTGTACAAGCCTCCATGTCTTGTCATGGCCCCTCTCAGAAAAGGGATGACCGCCAAATCTCCGGTAAAGTAGCCTAAATAAGGCAAAAGAGAGGCAGATATCCTTCAGTCGTTGCCCTGTTTCCCCTCTTAGAAGCTTCCCTTGACACTGCCAGACTTTCTGCAGGGTGACAATTTCAGCTTTTGTAATGTCCACCTGCTTCTGATAAAGCGGTGCTGTGACTTCTACCTCCTCTCTGTCTCCGTTAACCAAGTAATTGTAACCCTGCATGTCAGTAGGATCAGGTTCACCCTCCGTATGGATTTCATGCTCATGGGCCATCAATAACCCTTCTCCATACCATAGAAGCATTAGCCCTTGTAGTAGCTCCCAATAAGTCACCATTGTGGAAAATATTTAGCTCTAAACACTTGATAGCATAAGGTATTCTTATCTTGCATCATGTGCCAGCTTTGCTTTGCCAACATAGCTAAATTGAAAGCTTTGAAATCTCGAAAGCCTAATCTGCTAAGTTGCTTTAGTCTACAAATTAAATCCCATCTTAACCAATGGATTCTTCTTCTATCAGAGTTGTCTCCCCACCAAAAGTTGCTTATGATGCTGTTTAATGACTGTAGAAAATTTTGTGGAAGCTTAAAACAACCCATGCAATATATAGGAATAGCTTGCACAACTGCTTTAATTAAGATTTCTTGCCTAGCACGAGACAACAACTTTGTTTTCCATCCTTTGATTTTGGACCAAACTCTCTCCTGGATAGAATCAAAATACATGGATTTCCTTCACCCAATGATAAGGGGGAGCCCGAGATTTTTATCATCTGCAATAACTTTTGATACATCAAAGTTTGCATCACTTGTTGCTGCACAGCTAGGGAAGTATTATTGCTGAAGAAAATAGAGGATTTATTGAGATTAATTTGTTGGTCGAAAACCTGCTCATATTCCTTCAATATTTCCAACAACTTTAAAGCTTCTTGTTCAGTTGCTTCCCCGAACAACAAACTGTCATCTACAACAAACAAATGCAACAAACGAGGGCATCCTTTGCACAAAGACAACCCTTTTAATTCCCTCTACTAATAGCCCTTGATAATGGAGCTGATAGACCTTTTGCACATAAAACAAAAAGGAAAGAAGAAAGGGGATCTCCTTGCCTAATACCTCTGCTTGGAGTGAATTTCTTTGTTGGGCAGCCATTTATCAAGATTGAGTATTCCATGATTCAAACACACATCATAACATGATTAGTCCATCTCTCAGGAAAGCCCATAGCACGCATTATGTCTTCTAAAAAATTTCATTCTACTCTATCAATCGCCTTGGTCAAATCAAGTTTGATAGCCATATCACCTCCCCGACCAGTCCTTTTTATTTGTTAGATGATGGATAGCTTCAAATGTTACCATAATGTTATCATCTATTAGCCTTCCCAGGACAAAAATGCTACGATTTTTTGATATGATTTGCAATAGGACGGATTTAAGCCTGTTAGCTAAGACTTTCGAAATAATTTTGTATAGCACATTGAAAAGACTTATGGGTCGAAATTCCTTCATAAAAAAGGGACATTTAACTTTCGAGATCAAAACAAAATGAGTAAGGTTTATATCTCTCTCCATAATCCCATTGTTAAGAAAATCTAAAGCAGCGATGTGATATCATCCCCTATAATGTGCTAGTAATTTTTATAAAATCTAGCATTCATTCCATCTAGTCCTGGGGATTTTGAAGGGTGAATTTGCTTTAAGGCAACAAGAACTTTAGAGCTAGTAAAGTCTCTACCAAGGGTATTCGCCATCGAAGTCGAGACTCTCCTGTGTAGTGCACAAAAGATCCTTTTGTTTGGGATAGAGTATCTAGAAGTGAATAAATCCCTAAAGTACTTGATGCAAATTCCCTCAATCCCTGTTTTGTCTGATACTAGAGTGTCCCTGTCATCCACTAATCCAGCAATGTGATTCTTTTTGTGCCTAGCAGAAGCTCTATTATGGAAAAATGCATATTTTTATCCCCCTCTTTTAACCATTGTACTCTTGAGCATTGCTTCCATAATACCTCTTCCTTGCATTGCCAATCACAGAGCTGATTTTCTAAGGCTTCCATTCTCCCTAAACTATTGTCTTGTACTGTACCATTCTAAATACTTGAGTTCGTTCTGCAACTTTTTAATTCTATCAGGTATATTTCCAAATTTATCTTGGTTCTAGTCTGTAAGGAGGGAACCACACAAAGCAATTCTGGACAACACTCTAGCCATGTTTGTGTCGCCCTTTCCATTCTTCTAGCCATCCTTGATCTTTTCCTCACATTCTGATTCTGGTCTAGTAGTTCTCAAATCAAAATAACTTGGACTTTTTTATTGCAGCAACCACTCATCTTTTTGGTTGTTATCACCAAAATTGGAGCATGATCATATTTCAAGGCAAGTAAGTGATGAGAAAAGGCCCTTGGCGACATAGCTGACCACTCTGGATTCATTAGAAATTTATCAAGCCTCTCCTTGATCATATCTTTATGTATCTTTCTTATGAATGTAAATCGAGGACCTTTGAAACCCAGTTCTTTGAAGTCAAAAGTTTAAAGTTTTTGCAAAGACCTCCATTTGTCTATATGGCCTTGGGTTCCCTCCTTCCTTTTCTGATTTCCTCAGAATTTCATTAAAATCACCTAAGCATAGCCAAGGTAGAGAAGAGGCAATCTTAAGTGATTTTAATAGAGTCCATGATTCCTCCCTACAGGTAGCCTCTGGATTGTTGGCCCAAATGGCAACCCAAGATAGGGGTGAATTGGGTTTTTAAAAAACTAATGTAATTTTTGAATAAAACAATGATCAAGCACAAGCAATCAACAAGCTATTGTAAACTAATTGCAAGAATTAAAAGAGTAGGGTAAGAAATATCAAATGCTTCGATTTATCCTGGTTTTTCACCCTTTTTGGTGCCTACGTCCAATCCTCAAGTTTTCTACGCTCGAGATTTAATCTACTAACACTAGCTTCAACGGGTGCTAGTGAAACCGATTACAATAGCTTGTTGGTGCTATCAATCGTTTAAACCCCTTGTTACAAATCTCTCAACCTATCTTATATCTCAAGGATGGATTCCTAGATTTAACAATATTTGCCCAATCCCTCTCTCACTTGTTTCAATGAAAGAGATCAAGAAAAGTAAGAGAATTCTCAAAGCATAAGGTAGAAACTTAAACACTCTTAGTTTTTCAACTTGAAGGCTCTTTTGTTCTTCCTTCTCCACTCTTCCAGATTTGATTCTTATAGCTTGAGAGTGCTGAATCAATGTTTTTACTGTTGCAGCTCCTTTTTGGAATGCATATATTCCAAATATGGTAGGTAAATAAATGTTCTAGTACAGGGGGTTGGAACCTATCTTCAGGGGTTGGAACCTGAAAAAATTTCTGCATAAACCGTCAAAAAACAAAATCATCAAGGGTTCCAAACCCTATCCCAAGGGTTGGAACCTCAACTGCAAAATACACTTTCTGTTTTTGGCTCTCCACAACAAGGAAATTTAATTATGCAATTAAATAGACTTTTTCCCAAATGGAAACACATTCAAAACTTAATATTTGAAAATAATTCAATATTACTAAGAAAAAATCATATATTTACAAGTAAATCAACTTCCAATCAATTCAATAAATAATATATTCCAATTCATATTTGGTTTTCAAATCATTGAAATCAAGAATAACATGGACGTCTATAGAAACCTATTAACCGCCATTGAAAACCACCTGGGTCTACAATTTCCACATTTATATAAGATTGGGAAGAAGAGGATAGACATAGTTTAAAATCGTCTTGCCAAAGTAGAACCAAGCCGCCCCCTTCCTTACACAATCAACAGCGAAGCACTGGTCAAAACCTAGATCTAAGTGAATCTAATTCATCTCAATAGTTGTACGCTTTGTTTAGAGAGGAAGATGATACTGGGCTTTTGTTGGAAACAAAGTTTTTTTAGTGGATAATGGTAGATGCACACTACTCCGTTACTTTCCATTCTGTTAACACCCAAACACATCCAACCCATTCAATTTGCAATTTCATGTTCTTTGATTTTCAACCTTCCTTCTTTTTCCTCCTTTCTTTTTCTTCTTCTTTCCTTTTCTTCCCCTCTTATTCCTTCTCTTCCTCCTCCTCTTTGATCTATTTGAAGGAGAACCCAGATCTAGGTTCCCTATGAGAACCCACGGGTTCTCTTGGAGGAGGATGATGGAGGAGAGAAAAAAAAAGAGGAAGGAAAGAGGAAAAAGATAATGAATTTTTATAAATTTTGGTTAGAATTTTTACAAATTTGATAATATGGTGTGTTGTTTGGTTGATAAGAAAAGTGTTTGGTTGATTAGGATGAGGGTGGAGGTGAGGAGGAAGATGGATCAAGTTGGTGGGGACTGTGAACAACAAGAAGGAAAAAGGAAAGGAGAGAAAGAAAGGGCTAGCTGGTTAACGTTGTAATTAATGAAAATAATGGAAAATGAAGGGTGTAACAAAGTGTGTAGGAGGACAAGGTGAATCTATCATTGTCCTTTTTTAGTTTTGAAATTGCAGAGGTATTTCCAAGGCCCTGACAGTTCTAGGCCAATATACGAGTTTAAGCCATGAAAATAATAGGACAAGAAAACCAAAGAAAGAAATAGAGAGGAGAGAGGCCCTTCAAAATAGGGAGGAACACCTAGGTGAGATACTCGTCGGTCGGAAAGGGAGAACCCTAGTAGCGATGGCAAGAGCAAAAAGATATTCAGGGTATATAAACCCTTAAACAATTTTTGATTTTCTTTTATTTAGATTAATAAATTATTAATAGTCCTATGGTTTATAATAATAAAAATTAACAGAAGTAATTAAATAGCTTCATCAAATTAGTACTTTCATTATCATTTTACTATTATTTTGGTGGAAGTGAGTTTTTAAGGCTTAAAAAGTCGAGTAGCTAAATGTATCATTGGAACAAAAGATAATAGAGAATTCTACTCTATGGAAAGATCAACTTCAACAACACTTTAATCAAGTTAATGGAGGAAAATTCGGCCTTTAGACTGGTATTTTGAATTAAACGTGTTGCTCTTGGTTTTGGCAGCAACTGCTCTTATAATCTTTAGACTATGTAGGCGCCGTGGTAGTCACTAGTCGTTAGATGGAATACAATGGGTAAGTTTTCCTCACCACCAATTTGATTGCCAACAATATCGGCAAAATGTAGGGTGCTCCTTTCCGAAATGATTTCTTAGCTCTGTGGGGAATTATTTTGACCACTTTGTTCGGGTATGCCGACTCCTTTTCTACATATAGTCCTACACACAACGAACACACATTGAAGAGTCTCCTTTTGCAATTTTCTTTCACAATTTCTCTATGGCACTCGTAATTGCCTTATATGTTAGCCTAAGAGATTACGAATGGGTTCAATGGGTTATTCTATTTGTTATTATTATTATTAATTTTTTTTCAATTTTACAAGACAAGTGAGAGAGTCAAAGTTTTGAAGATGTCCTCTAAATCCTTCTTCGCCCAAAACACCAAATATATTGCAAACTTCATGTCTAGGGAGCATGAAATTCCCAATGATGGCATACCAAATCCAACCCAAACAAAGGGATACAATTATTTGGTTTCTAGAGATACTAAGTGCCTTGTTATCCTACCCAAGTATGTGATCTGGTAGTTCCAAGAGAGACTTTTAGAGGAAGGAATCGGTCAGCAGCTTAAGGACATCTGCCTTTCATTTGCTTTGTACAAACTTTTGTGCCAAAGATTTGGAGGGCATCCTTTCTTGGAGTGCAGCCATAGTAAAACATGGAGGTTGGTATGAGATGGTCTACTTTATAGGGAAAAAGACTATAAAAGAGCAGTGAGGGTGATCGAGGTAGAACTCTGTTTCCTTTTTGATCTTTTCTACACCAAATATGAAGCCATCTTCAAGGGAGGCCAAGGATTAAAAATGTTGAAGTTGTATGATGCTTTACTTGCAATCTTTGGCTATGTGATTATCCTAGTAGCGCTGAAGCATTATAAGCCAAGCAAGTCTGAGTTTTATCTTATTGCAGCTAATGGACATGTTATCATGGATAAGATAGCTACAGGTTTCACCGTAGTTTTAATTTTATTTATAGAGATTGCACAGCTTCTTTTCCTCCTTGTATCAGATTGGGGGACGGTGCTTTTGATATGCAACTATGTGAAGGTAATTCATGGCTACATAACACTGACAACTACCTTATGTTATGGAAAAAATTGATCTTCTTTTGTCAAAAATGGTTCAAACCTTGGGAGAGAACTTGGTCAATGCGCTTTTCTTAAGTCTTTCAATCTTGACCCTTAGAGATTTAAATTCAGCTTTTTATATAGGTGTATTACATGTAATGCAGCATATGTTCCCAGACAAGGTCAGAAAGGAGAAACTCGAATCAAACTGCCCGAGGAGGTAAAGAAAGTAGTGTTACTTACTCTCATAAGCAATGGTTGCAATCTGAGTAATGAGGAAGAATATTTGCGCCGAAGTGAGGTGTGGGATGAGCTTCTTCGGGCATGTAGTTTTGAGACACCCACCCACATTATCTTGGTGTGGCATATGGCTACTGGTCTCTCTACGATTGGATCAAGACCAATGAGTTTAAGCAATGAAAATTTCATTATTATCTCTGCCATGTCTAGCTATTGTGCTTATTTCGTGGCTTTTGCTCCAAGGTTGATATGCAGTAATGCTACCATTTCTATGTTTATATTTGATCAAGTAATCAAGGAAGCCAGAGGTATTCTATTGAGCAGCATTTTAGATAATGATAGTTACCAAAAGCTTATGAATCAGCCAGATAGAAAAGGTCACAGGATCATTCAAAGGGTTGCAAGGCTTGCAAATGATCTACAACAAATACAAAATGATGAAAGGGATTTTTTATGGAAGGTCTTGGTGGATTTCTGGGTGGAGTACATGTTATTCCTATCTCCCTCTGGTGATTCAATGGCCCATGTAAAACACCTAGCTAAAGGAGGAGAGTTTGTGACTCACTTGTGGGCTTTACTCTCACATGTAGGCATTCTCAACAATGGCTCAACTATGCAATTCTAAGAAAGGTCCCTTTTTGTGTCACTATTTTTAATGTCATTAGACCACATGCGTCTCTCGAGTTAAGTCAAAAGTCATGCATCAAGTTTTGTTGTTTTAAAATAAGGTGCAATGGTCAATGGTGTAATATTTATAAAATATTGGGCATCAGATTAGGTTGAACTAAAAATTTTAGTGTGTTTTGATATATATACTTTGGGTGTTAATGTAAACATACTAGGAAGCCCAAAAGAAAAGAAAAAAAACTAGCTGTGCTTTGTAAGTTGTAATGAAACAAATGTGATGTATCAATTCATGTGTATATATACGAGATACGCAGGAGAATGCTACGAAGATGATTGAGGACCTGGTTATGGAAACAATCTCCATTGATATTGAATTTTCCTTAATGATTTCAACCAGATGGATCCTTTAAGCAATGTGATGATGAGTCTTGGCCATATTTCCCTCGAATTGAGTCACCAAAGCGGTTATGTCAATGACAACTTCACGCAAGCCGGTGTCTTCTTCAACAAGAGCTTGGTTCTTTTGCTTCTCAGCTTGGAGTTGATATCACATGTCCTCCATGGTAATCTTGTAAAGATTATGGTTGATGGTCATATCTTATAGTTGCTCTCCCAATTGCTCATTGGCTTTGTGAAGGTGTTCATTGTCCTTAGTCAATTGGTACATATAAGAGATGGTTTCTTTATTGAGCCTTTGAGTACAAGCAAAAAACTCCAACAAAGCCTTGTGTGCAGAAGGTTGTGTCTTGGATGTGTGAGAATCCATATTTCTTTTCAGAGGGCACAAATGGTTCAATCAAAAGGGCTTGAGAACTAAACACAAAGTGGCAAAAATAAAGATATTAATAAGAGAATAATCAAAGATCATAACTAATGACATTTATAATAAAATGCAAATGTGATATGAGGCTTGAGAATTAAAATTTCTATCCTAATCATGGATTTTACTTCATTGGATGTACTTTGGACAAGGAAGAAAGATTGTATTCATTCAAGCAAGTTTATATTGACAAATCTGAATTTCTGGTGTTTGTATAATAGC